CTGCTACCTTTCATTTTATTTGATTTGTATTGTTTTGTTGTGTGTAAATGTGTTTTTTTAATTTATTTTTTAAATGAAATGAATAAAGTTAATAAAAATAAAATAAAACATCAGTTTAAGTTTGAGTCACATTAACAGATTTGTCATTAAACATTTTCAGCTTCTTTAGTCTCCAGTTGTTTGTTTTTGTTCAACAGATCCAGGTAAATATAACTTCACCCCTCGCCTTTTCCACCTGAGAGCTTCCTCGGGTAAATTTCAGGCCACAGAGCTGCAGAGTCCGACCCGCCTGCCGGGCCTCGTGATGGCGATGCCCTTCGTCCAGGAGACTCTGTACTCCGAACCAGAGCCGAGTGAAGTCCTTTCTTCTTTATTATCAAAGCTTCTCAGGATCATTTAAGGACTGAGTTTAACTCTGGTCGTCTGTACTTTCTTCGTCAGCTTTGTTCCTGCTCGACAACCGGTTAGAGGTGTACCTGTGGCAGCGAGGTCAGCCGGATCAAAGCCAGACCTCCGCTTCAGCCTGGAGCCTCTGGTGTAACGAGAGACGGTGCGCCATGCAGACGGCGCTGCAGTACTGCAAAGGTCTGGGGCATTATTTGTTTCCACCAGAAAGCTTTTATTTTTATAGAAGGTTGAGCTGAAAATGTTTTTTTTTACAACAGAAATAAACCCGAGGCGGCCCCCGCAGGCCTACTTCATCCTGGAGGGATCAGAACCTTTGACCTTCACTAATGTTTTCCCTCGATGGGAGAGGAAGCTCACACCTCCCACACAGGTCTGAACACACACACACACACACACACACATTTGTTTTTATATCCCTGTGGGGACCATGGATTGACTTCTATTCATTTCATGGTAATGTTATAGACTAACCCTGACCATTTACCCTAAAACTAACCTAAACCCAGTTCACACCTTGGTCCTAAACCCAACCCTACAACCCAAAAATGAGTTCCACTATAATAGGACCAGTCTTTGGTCCCCATGACGACTGCTAATCTTGACAAGGTAACTGTGTATKCCAGAAACYGTCCTAAAAAGGTAACAAATAAAATTACACACTGTTTTTCAGCCAGAATATAAGTCAGACCTCATATATTCGTACGAAAGTCCTGCTGCACATCAAAGAACTTCCATCAATCTGAAATGGCTGCTGAACTGGTTAATCTGAGACACAACTCCAGACTTTCTCTGAGGAGTGAGAAACTTGTAGAAATTCAACCATTAGAGTGACCAAAACAAAAACATTCCTCATTTAAATCTACAATAAATCTGACTAAAGCTTCAATAAAAGGCTCCTGCATGACCTGAAGTCTTCTTTATTTATATAAAAACTGCATTTTTAAAGTTTTATGGTAAATTAAATGCAATAAAAACAAATGAAACAATAAAAACCACAACAGATGAAACTAGAGATTTAGCATTCCCTGTGAAAATCGACTGAATTCTTAACACTGAATGTTTTTTATTGAAAGCTGCTGAAGAAGCTGAAAATGTTTAAAAGTTTACATTTCTGAAATTCTAAGTCATAGCCAAATATCCTGAAGGAGCTGAATGTTTTGATTTATGAATAGCTGAACAATATACAAAACAAAAAACATACAGAAGAAAAATGTATCTCAATATTGTGAATGTTTTTATAAGAATTCACACAATAAAAGAACAAAAAACATTCAAAACCATTAAAATGATGTAAAAATACACCTATATTTTTCCATCTTCTACCTTATTATCTTTGGTCTCTGAGGCAACAGGTCCAGAATTTAATTATAGCCTCACCATCACGAAACCTGCCTCCGTCTCAGAGGATAAAAACAAAGCAAAATAAAAAAACTTTAAATGAATTTATTCCACAGACTTCATTAATGAAGGATGTTTTCACTGATTACATGCTTTATTTGTGCAAAAGAGCGGTTCAGGACAAGTGAAGCTGTTGTTGGTGCAAGACGCACTGTCCCGGCTCATGAAGACTCAGTACCCTCTGGAGGACCTGCTGCGGAGCCCCTTACCTGAAGGAGTGYACCCCCAGCACCTGGAGGTCTACCTGTCTGACCAAGACTTCCAGGTGAACCGACGGAGCAGCAGCAGTGACCTGCTTCAGCCAGCAGGCTGCGCTGTTTACCTGAATTAAATATGGTTTTATGACATTAATCTTTATAATAACTTTACTTTATTTATTGTTTTATTTTTTCTGTTTTAGACTATTTTAGAAATGAAGAGAGATGAATACGCCTCGCTCCCGAGCTGCAAACAAATGGATCTGAAGAAAAGCAAAGGGTTGTTTTGTTAAGAATCCAGATGAAGTGGGATTCAAAAACTGGGACTTGACTGAGGAAGGCAGGCAGGCGACGCAGGGACAGCGCCATGTTGCAACAGACTGCTCACACTTTTAATGAAAACAGYAYWAAAAAKAAWCACTTWATTTATGTCAAAGTYGTGTGTGYACTTAACTGGATTTGACTGTAGCCATGGATTGTTCGCTTCCTATGATGACAAAACTGTACATCGGTAATAAAACTGTTTAATAAAAATGAGTAAACATGTTTAGAAGAAACAAAAAAAATCAATTCTTCAATTTTATAGACCTAAACAACAACAAAAACCACCTTGTACTTAAAGATTAACAGTTTTTGCTCAGTTAAAAGTTGTTTTACCTCATTTTTATCATCATTGCAGACAGATTTGTATTCTAGAGTCCCACYTTGCAGCATTTTGTCATTCAGGCTTGTAGCTTTGAGGCATGTGTGTAGCTGAGGCCACTGTTGGGCCTTATTAGGGCTCCGTGGGGATTCACTATTAGCTATGCATGAAGGAACAGGTAGACATGCTCCAATAACATCCCTCTGGCTCCAAGCAACATCCTAATTCTGCTTCATCTTAATCAACACGTTGCTCCGAACGTGCACTACAGACAGAACAATATATCAAAGGTTTAATCGTTTAAAACGCAGGCTAATACACTAATAAATGTCTGGTTGTAGCATAAAAAAGCAGCAGATGCTATTTTAGAAGGCTAGTTTAAACTTTTGTTTTTGGAACAGACTTTAAAAACATTTAAAGGGGAAAAAAAAGAAAGCCACGATAAAAACATAGTTCGACTTTCTGGATTAGCAGTGCTAATACGCCTTTTTTTTTTTTTTTAGCAAAGTCTCATGAGAAATTGTCACTATAAAGCACGCTAATATTTAGCATTTATTATTATCTGTGCTACCATGCTGACATTTAGCAACGTCGCTAAATATAAGCAGGTATAGCATGATAATATTTAGCCCTGATTATCAGTGCTAGCATGCTGATATTTAGCAACGACACTAAAAATAAACAGTGTTAGCATGCTAATATGGAGTAATGCCGGTGCTAATACTTTAGGCCAGCGTTCTGCTGCTCTACCTAGCCAAAGCAATGCTAATAATGGCAATGTTGCTAATTATAAGCAGTGCTGCTAAATATAAGCAGCGCTGGCATGCTAAAATTTAGCAACGTAGTTAATTGTAAACAGGGGTACCCTGCTAATATTTAGCAATATTTTTAATTATTAGAACTAGCATTCTAATATTTATCAACGATGATAATTTTTTTCCAGTGCTAGCATGCTAATATTTAGCTGCAATGCTAATTATTAGCAGTGCGAGCATGCTAATATTTAGTAATGTTGCAACTTGGCACTATATAAATGGTAGTAGATATTTTAGTGTGTTAAAGTAGCACAGTAAAAATAATCGTGATTTCCACATGCTAATACAAAAACAAAGAAAAAAACTTAAATTTCATAAAATATGATGATACATGAAACAGGATATAAGTTCAGGTTTCTGTCAGCATCAAAGTTTCTGAGGGACGTTTTATTTCTTGTCACATCCACAGATGTCAGACTGACCCACATATCTGGAACCAGTCAAGCCTTTTTTAACAATAGTCCACTTTGTTGGAGCTCCTTCAGCTTCACTGGCTAATGGATTAGCTGACTAAGCCTTCATGTGACTCTGCAGGGCTGGTCAGACTGGATTTAGGGCCCACCGCTGGATGATGGCACACTGAAGAAACTGTTTTTCTCTGGTGTTTTCTGCAGGGCTGCTATGTGTTTCTTGCGAGGTGTATAAAAAAAGAGAAAATGCTGCATCGACCGCTCTGCGCAGAACAATAATTATTCTGGATTTTGTCTTTTCAACAGATAATCTGCTGAGAGCAGAATCTGTATTTGTTCCGGCGCTTTAGATGGACTGTTCTCTTTGTGCATCAAATCCGAGCAGGTTGCGTTCCGGCTCGGAAGCCATCGCGGCCTCGCGTAAAACCACCATGTGATCCTCAGCGGCGTGGAGCGACTGGTCGATCCAGTCCATGCTGCCCGACATGTGGCAGGCGTTACGGGTCACCAGCACCAGGTGGCTGACGGAGAGGAGGAGCGCTGTAGCTCTGAGGAGCCAAAAGACAAATTCCAAATAAGCATTATATTATTAAAATTAAACTGGTCTCAACGCTTTAGAGTTGATTACCTGGCGTCCAGCAGAATTGGGTCCAGAGGTGGGTACATGGATCGGACCACATCGTCCACTCTAAGAAAGAACCAGGATGTTGATCAACGTTGGGTTTGCTAACTAATGAGCTGCAGGTGAAATATTACCGTGGGCTGATGCGCTTGGCCACGGTGATGATGTCACTCAAGCTGGCGGGTGCTTTGACCTTCGCCTCCGAGCCCATCGTCATCGCCACCAGCTTTTCAGTCAATGTGTGGCAGATCTGTAAGAAGAACGGTGAAGTCGTTACATCCCTGCACCCACCTGCTACAATATTCATTTCACAAACAGCAAAATGTTTTGTTACCTTTAGTATCGAGATGCAGTGAGACACCAGGCCGCTGTGGAACATGAAAGCAAAGTTAGTTAATTGTTATTTTTTTTACAGTGGTTCTTGTTAAATCAGGTTAAAATGACAGCGGCCAGACGTACGAAGCGTCCTCGATCCAGTCCTCGTTCTCCAGGATGGCCTCGATGTGAGGGTTGGTGATGACCACGTCGTCCAGCTCCAGCTCCGACGGCTCGCTCTGAGTTTCCATGGCTCCGATCAGATCCACTGTGGGTCTGTGCAGCAAGAAACAACGGGYAAAAGTAGCTAAAAGAACCCAGAAAACTACAGTTTTAAAAGGTGGGGAGGCTACTTTGCAGAATTATTACAGACAACTAGAGAGAGTTTGTGTTTTTAAATAAAACATGAACTTTACAGAACTCTGAAGAAACTGAGCTGTTACAGATAAAACCAGCTACAATCTGCAAAGAATGAAATGCTAAGAAAAAAGGTTAGCTAAAAAAAATAAAGCAGGCTGAAAGTAGCAAAAGGATAGGTGGAGTAGCATAATGCTAAAAAAATTATCAAAAGGATAGGTGGAGTAGCATAATGCTAAAAAAATTATCAAAAGGATAGGTGGAGTAGCATAATGCTAAAAAAATTATCAAAAGGATAGGTGGAGTAGCATAATGCTAAAAAAATTATCAAAAGGATAGGTGGAGTAGCATAATGCTAAAAAAATTATCAAAAGGATAGGTGGAGTAGCATAATGCTAAAAAAATTATCAAAAGGATAGGTGGAGTAGCATAATGCTAAAAAAATTATCAAAAGGATAGCAAGAGGACAGCTAAAACAAAAAGCTAGCTCAAAGTAATATAATGTTAGCTTGAAGTAGCAAAATTCTAACTTGTTTAGCCTTTTGCTGCTCTTGAAGTAACAATGCTGGCTAAAAATATTCAAAGTCAGTTAAAAATAACAAAACAAGCTAAAATTAGCATAATTCTGGCTAGATGTAGTAAAAATTATCACTTGGTTAGCCTTTTGCTGCTCTTAAAGTAACATAATACTGGCTAAAAGCATACAAAGTTCAACTGAGTAGCAAAAGGACAGCCAAAGAAACACAGTGATGGCTATAAGTAGCAAAAGGCTAGGTGGAGTAGCGTAATGCTGGCTAAAAGTAGCCAAAGGGTAACTAAGAATATCAAAAGGCCAGCTAAAAGTAATATAACACTGGCTAAAAGCGTACAAAGTTCAACTAAGAGTAGCAAAAGAACAGCTAAAAAAACACAGATGGCTCAAAATAGCAAAAGGCTAGGTGGAGTAGCATAATACTGGCTAAAAGTATTCAAAGATTAAGAATATCAAAAGCCTAGTGAAAAGTAACATAATGCAGGCAAAAAGTATTAAACAGTTAACTAAAAGTAGCTAAAAGACAGCTAAAGAAACACAGATGGCTTCAAGTAGCAAAAGGTTATGTGGAGTTGCATAATGCTTGTTAAAAGTATCCAAAGGTTAACTAAGAGTAGCAAAAAGCCAGCTAAAAGTAACAAAAGGCCAGCTAAAAGTAACAAAAGGCCAGCTAAAAGTAACAAAAGGCCAGCTAAAAGTAACAAAAG